ATGCAAAGTTAGGTAGCTGGGGGCCGCCAGGTGCCCCTCCCCTACCCCGCCTACCCGCACCCTAAGGTTCCCGGCTGAGAAGCTTCCGGATACCCTCTCATCCCAGAGAGGCGTGAGGACAACTTGCATATATCTGGGAGGCCTCCCTGTTCTGTTCCACAGCAGGGCTGGACCCCAGGGTCAGGTGGGGGGGGGCCTCCGTGGGTGGTGGGGGGCAGCAGGCGTGGGAGGGGATGGGGTTTGAGAACATGTTAGTCTCACACATGTAAAAAACAACACAGCGCCCTGTGCGCCCTGCCCCGTGCCTGGAGCACCAACCCCAACTGTAGAGCTGGGGAAGGGGGGAAGGGGTCTGGGTCCCGGTGTTTCCGCCTTATTCTGCCTGCAGCCTTTCCTGGGGGGCGGGGGGGGGGCACACAGGCCCAGGACGGCACCACCTACTCAGCGGGGCACACAGCTGGGGGTGGGCTGCAGAGGGACAACGTGGTCCCCACGAAGCCCGTGGGGAGGGGTCCTGGGCGGGATGCTCCCCCCCTCCCTGGGTGTCTGCTCCCCAATTCTGGGGGGAAGAGAATAAAACCCAGAAATCTGCCGCATGAAACATGACATGCAGGACCTTGAGCTCTCGGACCAAAGGACAGTTCTTAGGGGCGGGCGCTGAGAGCGGGATCTGCCCCCCGGGGCTTGCGGAGACCTCTTTTTAAAAGAAGACATGGGATGAATGTGTGCTGGTGGATGGAAGCCAGGCTGCCCGTGGGGCCCCTCCCTGCTCTGGGGGGCGACCATCTGCCCGCCGCGTCCCCACAGGAGATGCGTGGGGAGCAGGAGCTGGATGGACCCAGCCCTCGGACACCCCACTAACCGGCTGCTACTGTCTCAGCTTTGGTCGAGTAAAAAGCAAAGGAAATTGGAAGAAAAAAAAAAAAAAACCAACAACAACAAAGAAAGGAAAAAACAGAAAGGAAGCAAAAGGTAAGAGGACGATCGTGAAATCAAGGACAAGACAACAGTTTGGGCAGCCACCGGGCGGAGGCCCGTGCCCAGGGGCCAAACCCCGCGCCTGCGGGCCCCTGCCTGGGCCTGCGGTGGCTGAGCTATAGGTCTATAGGGACAGACAGACAGATATTGCATATATTGGGTTTGGCTTCTGTTTGCTGTTTGTTTCATCCCAGATAACCCCCCCCCCAGTCACAGCTGGAAGACAGAAGTGGGTGCTGGGGGCAGGAGGGGAGCGCCGCCCGAGGCGGGTCTCCAAGGGGGGGGTGTGCCCGGCGAGTCCTTTGGCAAGAAGGAAGGGGGGTCTGGGGAAAGGAGGGGAGCCTGGGCGGGCGGCAATGTGACCCTGAGCCAGGGGGACGTCAGCCTGCAGGAAAGGTGGCATGGGGGAGTCTGGCTGGAGGCAGGGTGGCCACCCCGTGGGGCCAGGGCTCACCCCTGAGGTCTGCCCACTGCTGTGGGCGGGGGCCTCGGAAGGGACTCCTCTGGAGCCCAGGGGTGGGGCTGGGGATGGCAGAGCACCAGGGCGCACCCCCACTGCAGCAGAGCTGTGGAGACAGAGCTGGGGGTGGGGGGCAGACCATGGGGCGATTGTTCTGTGGATTGCTTTTCTAAGCATGGGATTTTCCTTTTTTTTTTTTAATTCTTATTTTTTTATTTTTTATTTTTTTTTTTACAAATAGAAATACATCCCTCTTCAATTTTTATTTTTTATTTCATGTCATTGTTTTGTCTTTTTGTTTTTTTTTTTTAACTACACGAGCAGTGCATGCAGCTGTGTGCGCTGATATTGTTTAAAGGTAATACTTATTTTCGGAAGGCAAGGCACATCATGTGGTAGAAAATTTCGTGCAAATTAGGAAACATGGAGTTTTTTTAAGGTTTTTTTTTTTTTTTTTTTTTTTTTTTTTTTTTTTTTTTTTTTTAAAGAGGAGCGGGTAGTGTCGGAGGGCTGGGGGAGGGCTAGGGGAGGGAGATAGAGCCAGGTATAATTTGCCATGCAGTATCAGCTGCGGCGAGCTGACATCAGGAGCCAGGTCACAGGAATCCCCGACTAAGCACCATGCAAAGTTAGGTAGCTGGGGGCCGCCAGGTGCCCCTCCCCTACCCCGCCTACCCGCACCCTAAGGTTCCCGGCTGAGAAGCTTCCGGATACCCCAACTGCACGACCCACCCCCTCCTGACCTCCCGGAGAGCGGCCCATGCTTTGGTCCCCAAAGCCACCCAGTGGAGGGGGCCCTGGGGACAGACGGACGGACCAAGGGGTTTTGAATGCCTCTGGACAATGGGAGGGGTGTTGGTGGGGAAGGGTCTTTCTCTTATGGTTGAGTTTGCCAAGCCCCTTGGGATGGTTTGGGAGGAAAGTCCAGTTTCTGGGGAGTTGGGAGGAGGCTGGCCAGGCCTGGGGTATCAGGAGAGGGCCAGGAGGGCCAGGCTGGGAGCAGATGAGGCGAAGGCCCAGCCCAGGGTGATGGCTTTGGCCAGGGGGTGGGGGCTCTTGGTGGGGAAGGTCTTCCCCAGGGCCAGGCATGGAGAAGGCCGGCTGGGACTCGGATGGATGGGATGGGAGGGGATTCCCCCCTCCCAGGCCCCCCACCCGAGATGGCCATCCTGGGGTGGGGGTGGGGATGGAGCCAGGGAGCCGGGGTTGGGGGGCACCCGGTGTCCCCAGCTTAGTGTTTTTGGAGCGGCTCAACGGAAAACGTTTAGCAGATGGGAGGTCCCCCACATGGCGACAGGGGACCCCCCCAGGCGCTGACCCCACCCTCCCCCAGCCAGAACCCCCCAACCCCATCCAGGCTTGTACGGACTGCAGTTGCCCGGCCTTCTTTCTTTGTGGGGGCCCAGCTGTGATGCACCTGCCCGGCTGTGCCCCACTTCGGCGGGGGAAGATGAAAGTGCAAACCGTGGCCCCCCTTTGGGCTGGGAGGCACCAGGGAGGGGGTGTCGCTCCAGGATGTAAGGCACTGGCAGAGGAGGCGAGGGAGGGCCTGCTGGCTTCCCCAGACCCCACCCCCGTGCCCGAGCGCAGCAGGGCTTGAGGGATGCCCAGCTCTGCCCCTTGGGCCAACTGTAGGGGGGGTCCCATCTCTCCAGCTCTGAGGGGAGCACAGCAATGAGGGTCAGCGACTGGAGGTGGCCGGGTTGGGGGAGGGAATGGAAGGGGCCCGCGGCCACTTCCCATTCCAGCTGGACAAAGGGGGGCGGGTGGTGGGAATCAGGCACTTAAACCACTCGCTCTCACCTCCCCCCTCCGTGGGCTAAGCGGGGGGTCCTCCCCTCCCAGGGCTCGGGTGGATGGAGGCTCCGGACAGGGTGTCCCCTCCTGGGGAGCTCTGAGTCTCTCCACTCCCCCCAGCCCCTTCCTCGGAAAGTGCATTTCTTACAGTGTGTGCAACGTGGGTCCCTCCCCTGGGGGGTGTGGAGCAGGGCCAGTGGGGTGCGGGGTGGGGTGGCCTCCTATGCCGCGGGGTGGAGCTGGGGTCAATTGCATAGAGACTTCTCCTCCCAAACAGGGCAGGCACGGGGCTGCAAGACCAAGTCCCGAGCAAGCCCGGCCGAGCACGCACGCACACTGTGGGGCAGGCGGAGGTCCCACGGCAGCAGGACGCTCCCGACAAAGTTTCTGCCACGCATCCCAGTCCCCTGGCGACACCCAGGGTCTCCCCACAACCCTCTTCTGCCCTTGTCGCTTCCCTGCCCACCTGGGCCTCCACTGCCCGCCGCTGGGGTCCTTGCCGGGCCCCCCCCCCCAGCATCCCCACAGCGCCCACCTCCCCACTCGGCAGACACGGTGGCGGAGGCCTGGCTGACATCCCGGCAGTGGGGGCACGGGGAGAGGTGGCCTTGCCGGGTGTCCCGCCCCGTGGGGCCTGGGCAGGGGCACCAGTCCGCGCTCACCTGGTCCTGGGCGGAGGCGGGGAGCGGGCGCCTGCCCTTGGAGACCAGCAGCCAGAGATGAGTCCCTGCGGAGGGTGCCCTGCGCAGGCTGCGTCCGAGCGGCGGCAGGGCCTGGCCCTCCGGTCCGGCCGCGGCGTCCCGAGAGTTTTGAGGGGCTGCTGTCTTTACCTTTTGTCTTCTTGGATGGGTGGGTTTATTTTTATGGTGTTTTTTTTCCGTTTGTCTTTTTTTTTTGCCTTTTTTTTCTTTTTGCTTGTTTCCCTCCTGTGTGTATATGTCTGTTCTGTCTTTTCGGCCAGGCTGGGAGTCGGCGGGGTGTTCTTGCTCGCTCTAACTTTCCACTGAAAACGTGGGCCAGGGGCCGACAGTGCGGCCCCCTGGGATTCCCGCGACGAAGGAGCAGGGCGTGGGAAGAAATCTTTCTTATCCCAGATACCAGGACTGGGTGCCCGAGAGGGACACACGGGGGCGGGGGGAGAGAGAGAGAGAGAGAGAAACGGGGGTCAGGCTCCACCATCGACTGCACTGGCCACTGCCCGCACCTGCCTCCTCGGGGCCCCTGTCCCCCTGTCCCAGACGTGTCATAACCTGCTAGAGGACCCTGGACAAGGCTGCTGGATGAAACGCAGGGTGCCTGGGGACAACTGAATTCTGGAGAAACCACAGGGAAACCCGTACACTGTGCAACTTCTGGTATATACTTATGCTGAGACAATTTTTTCAAACTTCTTTTTATCTCTTGTTTATCTGGACTTTAAATCTATCTGAGCATCCTGGAGTTTTTGTTTACAACCAGATCTCTGTGCCTCCGTGCCCTGAGTCTACAAGGATGGAGAGGATGTGGCTCTACCCCGGGCTTGCCTCCACACACGGAGTCGTTATGAAGTGCCACCTTGTTCAAGCACGGCAATGAGGGCTGTTTGCTTTCGTTTTTTAAAAAAATGTTTTCCCATTTAAGGATCCCCCACGCCAGATTCCACATGAAGGAGGGACTATGCCCCCCACCACCCTGTTTCAAAACGAAGACAATATGGGCTCAGAGAAGTCAAGGAATTTGCCTAAGACCACCAGCACAGGGGGCCAGAGTGGAATTCCAACTCGGGCCTGCCTGGTTCCAGCCCTTGCTTGGCCCCTGCCCAGGTCTGACCTCTAGCCTGTCCCTTGAGGGGTCACAACCTCCACTTCCCATAGGGGGCCTGGGGCTCAGGCTCAGGGACAGCTCTAGCCTGGGTCTCCACAGGGAAGCCGCTGTACACGCCCTTTCCCTGGAAATGCGTCCAATCCACCTGCATGGGGCCAGCCTGGGGACACCCCCTGACTGAGGTTGGAGCAGCGCTGTCCCTCACCCCTGCTGTAAATCAATTGTGCCCCTCCAACCAGGCTGCCCCGTGGGCCATCCCAATAAACTGGCGCCCTGGCTCCCAGCCCCCACCTCCAGCCAAGTTCAAGTTCATCTTGGCCATTACCTCATGTCTGGTTTCTGTTGGCAACCAGACAGACTCTGGGCGTGACCCTCCCCCATGGTGGCCTCCCCTCAGCCCTTCCTCCTTCCTCCCTCACAGGCCTCTGGTCCCAGTAACTTAACATCCTCCCCTTCAGCTGAGGGGGAGACCGCCGGGGGTGCTGGAGGCGGGGCGGTGAGGTCCCGGCTCTGGACTCCCCCTGGCCTGGCTGGAGCCATCAGTGTGGCTCTGGCATGTGGCTTAGCCCCTCTGGACCTTGGCTTACTCATCTGCTGGATGGGTGTCATGTGTTTCTGGGCAGAAGGGATCCTGGTATAAAATGCTCAGTGGCCGGGGAGGGGGAATTCCATCACATCGGAGAGGGAGCAGAGGTGTATGGGCCCATGGATCCCCACTCTGGGGACCAAAGTGATGGATGGCTCAGGACTCGGGGGGATTGATGGGGGAGATGAAGAAAGTAGGTAACTGACCAGGGGGAGATCAGCTGAACTGACCAGGGTGGGGGGCACCCAGGGGGGAGGGGCACTGCTGGGGGAGGGGATACTGACGGGGGAGGGGATATTGGCTGGGGGAGGGGCACTGATGTGGGGGAGAGGAAGACAGAAGATGGAAGGGTGTGGGGAGGGGAAGAAGCTGCTGTGGGCTGTGGGGGTGGAATTGGGGGGCCAGAGGAAAGCAAACCTCCCAGGAATAACGAAGGGGGAAGGCAGAAGTGCTGATTGGGTGACACGCGAGAGGCCTCTAAGCTCTGAGCCCTTCGCATGGGGGCTCCAGGAGGGGGGGGAGCAGGGTCTGCAGGGAGCAGCGAGGGGGCGCCTGACCCACTAGGGAACTGGGGCCAGCTGTCCCACTGACGGCAGCGCTGCCAAGGGCTCCCCCAGAGCTGCCCTCCCTATTCACCCAGATTGGGGCCTCACCTCTCCCACAGCCCAGGCCCCCTTGGGAGCCTCTCACCACCCTGGCATGTCTCCCTTCCATGTCCCACGTCCCCCAGCAACACCAGCCCCAGAAAGCTCTTTCTCACTCCCGGGTCTGGCTGTACCCCTCTCCCCCTCACTCAAAACCCTTCCATGGCTCCCCACAGCCCCCAGGACAAAGCCCACATTCAACTGTTTCTCCAGCATCTCCAGCCTCTGTCAGTGCCAAGCCCCCTGCCTGGGCACCCCTGGCCTGCTCCTCTGCTGGCCAGCCTTTGTACCAGCCCCAACCCCTTCCTACCCAGGCAGGGGGTTGGGTGCCCCCTCCCCAAGGTTCCTCCACACCAGCTGGGGCCCGCTGGCCAAAAGGGGGCCATGAGAAGCACGTAGAACCAAAGTACGCCCTGGCCTGCCTCAGTCCCCTTCCTCTTTCAGGACGTCTGCTGGGGGGAGGGACCCCCTTGTAGAGATTGATAATGCAGAGGTGAGGCAGGGGGCTGGGGGCCTGGAGAAGAGTTAAGCAGGCAAGGCCTCCTACTGGTCACTGTGTATTACCTTTGGTTTCTGAAGCAGTTAGGACATTCCCAGCCTCCCCCTGGGGCGGGGATATGGGGTAGGGGCCGGAGAGGAAACGCAAGGCTTCAGAGCACTGGGGAGTGGGAGTGTCCATGCTGGAACTGACAGAGGGTGGCCACGGGGTACCCAAAACCCAAAGAGGGGAGTCCTGGAGTTGCCCCAGCTTGCTGGGTACCCTGACCAAGCGATTCCTGTCTGGATCCTGGCTGGAGCTTCGCAAGGCAGAACACTTAATATTTGGGGTTTGCAAGGGTATGCGGGGCAGTCTCTTTGCCTTTGGGTGCCCTTTCTAGATAAAACTGGTCCCTGAAGGAATGCTCCCCCTGGGGGGTGTGTGAGGCCAGAAGACGAGATGGAAGTTCAGAGTGGGTAAAGCAGTGCCAGGTGTGAGCCCTGGCCTCCTGGCCCCAGTACTCACTGCCGAGGCCCGGGCAGGGAGGGAGAGCAACGGCCTCCCCGTGGCCCGTGCGAGCCAGCAGCAACCAGGTCTGCCCAGGACGGTCCCCAGCTGATTCTGGTCTTAGCTGAGGATGGGGGGGACGCAGCCACCTCTCCAGCTCCTCCTCAATCCCTGCCCACGCCCTGCTGCAGGAAACCCTCCCCCAGCTACTGGAGGGACCGCATGTGGCCCCGGGTCCCACAAATGCCCATGCTCTGTGGCTCTGGCGATCTGGAGATGCTGGGGAGCCCCGGGCTTCTCTCTCTGCACATCTGGGCACTGGAGAGCCTGCAGTGCCTGGCACTGCCTTTGGGCTGTTTGACATCCTATAACCCCCTCCCCAACACATACTGGGGAGCGGGGGCTCCCAAATCCAGCCCCCACCTGCCAACACACTCCCAGCCAGCATGCAGCACAGATTCAAGACCCCAACCCTGCTTGGGAAGCTGAGAGCCACGAGTCTTAGTTCTGGACCCATCAGGGCTCTGCCCTCCACTGCTGTGCAGCCTCAGGCAACTCGCTCCTCCTCTCTGAGCCTCCTGGTCTGGTCCCCGGCCCCTCCCCCTCTCCTGGCCCTGGTGCACCCTGGGCCACAGTTATGCCGACTCCGCCTCCGCAGCTCCCCTCTCCACATCTCCGACTGCAGCCTGGGGTGGGGGGGTGCACGGGCTCTGCTGGGAGGCCCCACCCCCGGCCACGGGCTGCCTCCGTTTCCCCAGCTGCCGCTGGAGTCCGAGAGTCCACGGCCACCCTCTGTCTCCCTTTTTTGTGCTCTCTCTGGCCAGCAGCATGGAAGGGGACAAAGGCTGGGGGTCATAAGCTTGGGCTGACGTGCTGTGTGATCCTGGGCAAATCCCCTCGCCTCTGTGGGCCTCAGTCTTCCCATCTGCACAAACGGGCCCGGGGTGGTCACAGCCCCGGCCTCGCAGCAGCTCTGTCGTGAGTGTCTCCCGCTGGGAAGTGGCAAGCGGGGCTGGGGGCCGTACCACGTCCCCGGGCACGGGCTCGAGGCCCTGGAAGGGTACGGGGAGCTGGCCCCCCTGCCATGCACGGTGGCCACCGTGCCAGGGGTGCAGCTGGAGGGATGGCATGGGACCGGCAGGCCGGCCTCTCCCTGCGCACCAGGCGGGGCCCTCTGCCCCGCCCCGCCCTGCCCCCCACCAGCCGGCCTCTCGGCCCCTACCTGTGCCTGATAAATGCCCGCTGGATCCCTTGGTCCTAATCCCACAAAGGAACGGTTTGCAGGGGACGTGCCGGGCGTAGAGTAGGCTGCGGGGAGGAGAGAGACCGAGAGCCCGTTAGCGAAGGGGGCTGTGCGGGAGCACCCAGAGAGGGTGGCCGCTGCCCAGGGTCACACAGCCGGGCCTTCGCACCCAGCACCCGGCGCCTCCAAGCTTGCTGCCCTCCCCAGCCGACCCGGGCACCCCGGGGAGCCCACAGGGTCGGGCCCTGGGGTCACACAGGCGGGGCACCTGCCGAGATGGAAGGCACAAGATGAAAGACTCATCACCAGAAATCGCCTGTGAATTATTCACGGTGCTTCGCGGCCTGCTCCAGCCGCTCCCGCGGCCTGCATCCCGTGCACGGCGCCATGAACTATGGAGGGCGCTTTATTTATTAATCTTCCTCTTGGAGACTGTGCCGGGAAGGCGGGGTGTTTGCAGACACACGCACGCACGCACGCATGCACACATTTATATTTATGTTTACGTTTAGAGTTAGGTTTTCATCCCACCAATTACGTTTTGTTGGCAAGTGAATAATTCGCAGCCCACGGCTGCCGGGGAGCTTGGGGGCCTCAGCCAGGCCGTGCCCGGGGTGGCGGGAGGGTCCCTGCGTCCCTGCGTGGGATCAGCCAGGCCAGGGTAAGTGCGGGGCGTGGGGGTCGGGGGCCCTGGCGGGAGGAGGGGGGCAGGCTGCACAGGCCGTTAAAACCGGGTGCAGGAGGAGAGGGAATTCCTGGGCCCGTGGACCTGCAGAGGCCCCCACCTAGCAAACGTGAGGATTACTCCCATTTTACAGACGAGAGAGTGGGCGGAGCAGGGGGTACTCGGCCCAGCATATTTAACATTTACTGTCTACTCTGTGCCTGGCATGGAGTTTAATGTTCTCCCCGATCTAGCTCCTCCCCTCGCTCCCCACCACCCTAGACTGGGCGCTCTGTCCCATTTTATGGCTGAGAAAACGGGAGGCTCAGAGAGCAAGGACATTTCCGTGAAGACCCACGGGCAGTGAGCCGCAGAGACAGGATTCAAACCCAGCGCCCCGCACTGCCTCTGGCATTCAGAGAAAGCCTGTCTGCTCATACAGCTGCGCTGGGTCCTCGCCGGCCCTGGATGGGGGCGGGGGGTGGGGCAGAGCTGCGGGGAAGGGGGCGAGCTGCTCGCCCCCCCTGCTCAGGTGCGGTGACACAGACGCTCAGAGTGTGAGGGGCAGACTAAGAGGTCTGGGGTCTCTGAGATCATCTGCTCAGGGCAGTGACTGAGACGGCCTCGGGGGATGCCGAGGCTGGCGGCCCAGAGTGAGGCAGCCTGGAGGAGGGTGGACGGCCCACCCAAGCCTGCACTGGGGTCCAGGGAGAGGCTGGGTACAGAGCCACCGCCGATGGGGGTGGACCCCAGGACTGGGGGAAGCATGAGGGGCCAGCGAGTGGTCATCTGGAACCACATCCAGAGGGTGTAAAGTTCTAGAAAGCAAGGCAATCAACTCAAGGCCGTCTAGGGTCAGGTGGGCAGGTGGGACTGTCCCATCTAAAGGCGTGGCCCAGCTGGGTCACCAGCAGGAACAGGGCCCACGGTGGCTGCCTTTTTTTTTTGCCAAGAGCCCAGAACTCTGACGTTCTCGTGTGAACTGTCCTGACTCTAAGACAACAAGAAATTATCATTTTCCATCAACAAAAGACACCTGAGGGCTCCGTCTGCCCCCAGGGCCACCGGTTTGAGATCTTCACCTACCGCCACCTGCTCATTGCACGGAGGAGGGCTGAGAGGCCAGGAGCGGGCACGCAGGGACCCCAGACACCCCCCTGGCCCTCTCCTGCCACTCCCTAAGGCTGCCTTGGCCCCACGTGGGCCCGACCACGTGGCCCCCCGGGCCTCTACCTGGGGACCCACCAAACTCACCGGGACCCAGCAGGCCGGGCCCGAGCCCCTGACCCCAGCAGTCGGGGAGGGGAGGGGAGGGGGCCCCTCAGGGACGCCCGCCCTGCCACGGGCACCGCTTCCCGAGTGCTTACAGGGCGAGGTCGGCGACGTGCTTCCTCCTTCGGAGGTGGGTTTGGTGGCGGGGGGGAGCGCCAGCCGCGGCAGCCCAGGGGGCGGGGGTGCCAGCATCTGAGCAGAAAGGCAGTGACTGGACATTTTGAGCTGACCACTTCCATTTAACTGGGAGGAACAGAGAGACAGGTGGTTAAGGCGGCGGGCGCCCCCTCTGCCTCGGGCGGCCGTCGGCGGCCCTGCCGGGGGAGGGCCGGGCTTGGCGTGACCAGGCGAGTTTGGTGGGTGCCGCTGCCGCCCCCTCGCCTGACCCCGCAGGCCTGCAGAAGCATCCCGGGACCCTGCGTCTCCTCCTTAAGCCACTCTTTACCCGTCTGCTCCTTCCACGAGACGCCACCTCACCCTGAACAACATCTGAACCCACGGGGGCTGTACACTCCCCTTGTCCACTACAAGGACGAGTTCGTCCACCACCTCGCCCACAGCTCCAAAATGCAAAAGGCTCTGAACACTGAAAGCTTTTGTGGAGGTTTGGCAAAGGTGGGCCTGTGCTGAGGCCACAGGACCATGTGTGAATCTGGGTAAACTGTGTGCTGTCAACTCCAACACCCGGAAAAGACTTCATTCTGATCTGGCCCGGCCTCGGGCACTTCAGATGAGGGAACACGGCCCTGCTGTCCACGAAACCATTTCAAACAGAGGCTGCCTGGCAGAGGGCTGCCCAGGATGGCTGCGTGACGTGCCAGGCCCCCCGGGGAGGTCCCCTGGAGCCATGTGTGGGCAGGCAGCCCTGTGGGGCAGAGGGGAGGCCCAAGCCCCCCAAACTCACCGGTCCAGGCTGCTGGCTGGCTGGGTCACAGGCCAGCGACACGAGATCTTTGAGCGGGTCCTGGGGGTTGAGGTGAGGTGGGTAGCGGATGGCCGTGTGCGGGAAGTAAGTGGAGGCCGTCTGGGGCAGGATGGAGGTCGTGGGGAAGTGTAGGGCCGAGGATGGGTGAGGGCTCCGGGCGATCCCTGCAGAGACCAGGAGGGGTAGTCAGTGGAGGCTCTGGGTGGGGGGCGTGGTCTCCCAGCGACTGGGTCTGTGGGTGCAGGTCCCAATGACAGAGCAAAACCCAGCCCTTTACACGCCCAAGCTTGAGAACGTCTACCATAAGCCCACGGGGTTCTGGTATCACCTCCACCTTTTTTTTTTTAAGTAGGCTCCACACCCAACGTGGAGCCGAATGTGGGGCTTGAACTCACAACCCTGAGATCAAGACCTGAGCTGAGATCAAGAGCTGGATGCTGAACCGAAGGAGTCCCCCAGGTGCCCCGGTTTCGTCTGGTTTTGAAACAGGATGACATGATGGCTCTCTGAGGTTATGTCCCCCGCCCCAGACCACAGAGCAAGCAGCTGGCAGACCCAGGGGAAGGTCTGGCCCCACAGCCCAGAGCCCAACCCAAGGCTCGGCTAGCTCTTTCCATAGACGGTTCACTGGTTTCTAGCATATTCTCTGTGCAACCACCATGATGGTTTCTTTTAGGACATTGCCATTATCCCAAAAAGCAGCCCCACCCCCATCAGCCGTTACCCTCCCACCCCCTCCCCAGCCCCGGCCCCCACAAGCCCCCTTCCCGTCTGTGGATGAGCCTGTTCTGGACGTGTCACCCACATGGACTCACACCCCGTGTGGCCTTCTGTGTCTGGTTCCCTCCCTGAGCGTCGTGGGCTCAGGGTCTGTCCCCTGTGTGGGCGCCTCGCTCCTGTTCACAGGTGAGTAATGTGCCCGTGTAGTATTTGCTTTTTTTCCTCTCCAAACAATCCAGTGACTTTTTGTATATTCACTCCGTCATTCTAGAACATTTCCACCAACCCCAAAGGCAGCCCTGCTTCCGTTACGGCTCAGTCCCCCCGTCCTCTCTCCAGCTCCTGGCCAAACAGTACGTACTTTTGGCTTCTCAGGCCCTAGGTTCTCCTATAGCTACTAGACCCTGCCCACTGCAGCCCGAGAGCTGCCGCAGATGACGTGTCAACGGGTGGGCGAGGCCACGCACCCGTGGAACCTTACTTACAGCGGCAGCTGTGGGCCTGAGCTGCTGCCTCGTGGTCTAAACCACGGCACAAAGCTGGTTTTTACCCGCCTCCCTGTATGTGTGTCTCCCCTGTGCGGAGCTAAAGTGTTATCATCGTAACAACGGGCTCCCCGGAGATGTTCAAGCCCTTGATTTAGCTCGTTCGGTCCTAAACACAGTCCCGGGGTGGGGGTGGGGGGTAACGTTTATGAGCCCCAACTGCCAGGTGAGCAAACACAGAACCAGGGGCACTGTGCCCAGCTCAGCGCATGCCCACTGGCTGCTTGAGCGGGTCTCCCTCCTGTTCACGTGGCGCCCCTGTGTCACCCAGGTGGCCTTGTGTATGTCCACCCCCTTCGGGGACCTCCCAACCCTGCAGGAGCGGAGTGTGAGATAAGGCGAGCAGGCTGAGGGACAGGCCCAGACTGTACCTCCTTCCTGTACAGAAGGGGACACCAAGGGACAGAGGCAGGGCCAGGCACTCTGTACCATGACACCTCCGGGTTTTCTCACCTGGCCGGGAGACCACGGTGACAGGACTCACAGTCAGATGGCCTGTGGGACATCCCTGGCTGAGGGGGGCCTGGTCAGAGCCCCCAGCCGCCCTCCCTGCCCGGGGCCCCCGTGCTCACCGCTGTGCACGGCAATGACAGGCCGGTGGTGCTGGGTGAAGCTGGAGAGGCGAGGTGAGTCCTGGGGTGACGGGCTGTGGAACGGGGACTTGTCCATCTCTGTCTTCTTCACCGGGGACGAGATGCCTGCGTGGGAGGAGCCAGAGGGTCACAGGGCTGCAGGCATCAGATCCTGGCCCTTCCTTCTTCCAGCACCCCAGGGCCAAGGGCCTGGGAGCCCACTGTCCACGGTGGGGGCGCACACCGGGGCTCCGAGCACAGAGAATCGGGGCTCTGAGCACAGAGAGGGGCCGCACAGGGTCATGTGGCCCATGGAACGAGGAGCATGGTGCCCACAGAGGCCCCTGGACGTCACAGCCTGGCCCCCCGCCTTCTCTCCTTCCAGACACAGGTCCGCTCAGGGCTGCCAGGCTCTGGAGAGAAGGCCACAAGGTCCCTTCGAAAGCCCCATCAGGCAGAGGTGAGCTGGCAGGACACAGACAAGGCCCTGAGGGGCTCTGCGTGTGCGGACCTCATCCTCACTGGGGTGAGGAACAGAACCTTCCCTGTGGGGCCATCGTGAGGATGAAGCGAGACAGAACACTATAGCTGCTAGGTCAGGGCCCGGCACCTGCCCGACCTGCTGCAATCCCGAGCAGAGGGGCCTCACCGCCTCCTCAGCTGCCTGGGGCACCCCTGGCCCTCCGGTACCCCGACAGCCTCCAGCTCAGCCCCCGGCACCTCCCTCCATGAATGACGGGTGTAAATCGGGCCTGCAGAGACTCCACAGAGACCGTGGCACAGGTGTCCCCATTGCCCCGACGGGGGCAGACCAGGCCTCTGCTGGGCACACGGGGGCCCTGCAGAAACAGCTGAGCCCCCTGCGCCCTCCATCCAGCACCCCCACCCCTGCCGTCCCCCAGATGTGCGGGAAGAGGGTGACGAGTGCAGAGTCCCGGGCCCGGCTCCAACCCTGCGACCAGAATCTCAGGGATGTGGGGCCTGCAGATAGATATGCTTAGAAATTATTTTAAAAATATAATTTAGGGTGCCTGGGTGGCTCAGTTGGTTAAGTGACTGCCTTCGGCTCAGGTCATGATCCCGGAGTCCTGGGATCGAGTCCCGCGTCGGGCTCCCTGCTCAGCGGGGAGCCTGCTTCTCCCTCTGACCCTTCTCCCTTTCATGCTGTTTCTCTCTCTCTCGCTCTCTAATAAATAAATAAAATCTTTAAAAAAAAAATGTATAATTTAGAGTGACACACACCCACTGAGACTCAGAGTGGATTCAGACGTGGTGAGAGATGTGCCTTCCCTCCCACCCAGCACCGCTGACGTCAGGGCGGGGTCATTCTCTGGGGGGGGGGGCATCCTGCACGCTGTAGGCCGAGCAGCATCCTTGCCACGCCCCACCCCCATGCCAGGAGCCCCCCCGAGCCACAGCCACAGAGGTCCCTGGGTAGAGTCGCCCTGGTGAGAGCCGCTCCCTCCTGAGGCTTGCTGTCATGGTTTCTGGGGTCTCCTGTCGCGCGTGCCCCGTGACGGGGGGGCGTTTCCTCAGCCACACCGCTGGGTCCTGCTTCCCGCGGTCCCTCCGCCGGCCTTGGTGAACCAGATCTGGGAACCAGCCCCCCATGGCCATTAGGGCAGTCAGCTGGTTCTGCTGTTACAACCCTGGTCGCCAGCCCTGAACACACGCGGTGTGAGTCCTGGGACCTGGGTCAACGGGCCCCACAGGCCTGGCAGCCAAGCTTTCCCAGGGAACAGGAGGGGCTGATGGGACAGAGGTGGCCAGCAGGGGAGGCAGCCGGCCCTGGGGGATGTGTGTGTGTGTGTGTGTGTGTGTGTGCGCGCACGCGCATGCACATGCAGGATCTGTGTGTGTGTGTGTGCGTGTGTGTGCGCGCGCGCATGCAGTATGTGTGTGTGCGTGTGTGTGTGCGCGCACATGCGCATGCAGGATCTGTGTGTGTGTGTGCGCGTGCGCGCATGTAGGGTGTGTGTGTGTGTGTGTGTGCGCGTGCATGCGCATGCAGAATCTCTGTGTGTGTGTCTGTGTGTCTGTGTGTGTGCGCGCACTCGCGCAGGATCCCTGCTGCTGCGGGGCTGTGGTGGGACCGAGGGAACGAGGTCAGGGCCGGGAGGCGCTCACTTAGGAGGATTTCCTAGAACAGGCTGTCCTGGATGGCAACAGCCTGGTTGGACCCCGCTCCCCAGCACATCTCTACAGGCCCTTCTACAGCTTCCTGAGATGGGGCCTGGGGGAACCAGGGCAGGCGGGAGGAAGGGGGGAGCCTGACCCCAGGCCCTGCAAGAAAGAATAGCCCTCCGTGCTGCTGGGCAGGCCACCGGAGGCCCTGACTGTGAATTCCCACATCCGGGCATCCCTCAGTGGTTCAGCAGACTTGCCTGCAATGCCCCTGTCTGAGTAGCTGCCGTCCGGTTAGGACACTGCTGGTATGGCCTCCACCCCTGGGTCCGAGCAGGCATCTTGCTGCTCAACACGTGTACCTCTGTGTTCCCATCCGGGCGCCAGGTCTGTGCCCCATCTGAGAAGCGCCGCCTTTACTGAGCACACAAGCCTGCAGCGCCCCCTTCGTGTCCCCCCCCCCCCGGCCCCCGCTCCGTCTGGCACCTGTCTAAGCACATCCTCCACCAAGTGGACCCACCTGCATGTGCATCCACTTGCTCAACACACAAGCCCATTCCAGCTCCACTGTCCAGGGCTCCCTGGCCCCAGTGCATGTGGTCTGGCCCCCTGCGGTGTGTGCAGGCGGAGTGATGGGCAGGGGTGCGCCGCTCTGCCAAGACCAGCCATCATCTGGTGAGCGTGCGTGACGCAGGGGACGTGAGGCCCAGTGACTCTCCGCTGGGGCGTGCGGGGCACTGCGGGGGTGTGCAGCATCCCCAGCCCCACCACCTCGGTGCTGGGAGCCCCTCCCCAGAGCGGTGACAACCTGGATGTCCTGACTGGAGTCCCCTGGGGGCAGAGCGGCCCAGGTGAGGGCCCTCTGCAAGATCGCGGGCAGGGCACGCACCTGCCCCGTGCAGGACTTACAGGAGTCACCCCCACATGTGGACACTGGTGCCTGATGGGAGGTCACTGACTGGAGGCCACGGAGCAGAGAAGTGGTGGGGCTGACTCTAACCGCTGCACCTCCACCGGCCACGCTCTGCACCCCTCCTGCCCGCCCCGAGTTCCACAGAGGTGGACAAAGCTCCCCCCCAACACGTGACAGGGAGAGAAGGGAGCTGCCTGCTTCACCCCGATCATAACTGCATGTGTGGGGGGCCTACACCCCCTGCTGGAGGGCCCCTGGAGCAGCAAGAACCAAGCAGTCTGGCAGCTGAGCAGAGGGTGCCCCTTTCTGGCCCGCGTGGGTGGGTAATCAGGGAAGGCCTTGGGAGGGGGTGGCCAGGAGGAGAAAAGGCACTCCTACCTGGGCATAGAGAGGGCAAAGGCCTGAGAGGTGTGGCTGCGGGGATGCTGCCTGGGTGGGGCTGACATGGCACCCCCCCTCCCCCCACCCCGTAAGGGATGCTGGGGTTGGGGGGCTGTTAGCTGAGCGCTGCCCTTGTGCCCAGAGCAGAGGAAGGGAATAGTGCTCTAATCAGCTTAGGCCCCTTAATGAGCAGCTAATTGGGGGCTGTCTAGACAGGAAGCTGGAGGAAGCCAGGAGGAGGAGAAAGTGGGGGAGGGGGGAGGAGATGGGAGGGGAGGAGAGGGAGGAGGGGCAAAGGCAGAGGAGGGAGGAGAGAAAGGAGGAGAAGGGGACGGGCGGGCAGAAGGGGGAGGGGAGGAGGAGGAAGAGGAAGAAGAGGGGGAGGAGAGGAATCCATCTTCCCACTAGGCTTGGGAGCTCCTGCGGGGCCCGGACAGGACACACAGCAGGGGTCACAGCGGGGGTGGGGGGGTTATACCGAGGGTCCCACAGGAGGAAGCGAGTCTGCCATCACCCAAGGCAACCAACAGAGGCTAGAGGGGACAGATGCCCTCTGACATTCCCCTGCGCCCCGCGATTCCCCAGCACACAGCAGGAGCGGGTGTGGGTTCCTCCCCCTCCCCCACGGCTGCCACTTCATGCTCAAGGCAGGAAGTTCAGACCCAGCTCCAGTCCAGTGACTCTCGAGAACATTTCCTTCCTTTAAAATTTTTTTTCTCCTTTTTGAGCTTCCTGCATTGAAAGCTAGGTTTTTTACGTCCATCCCTTCTCTTTTTCTAATCCATAGACTTGAGGCTATAATTTTTCCTCTCAAGGCTGCTGTGGCTACATCACAGAGGCTCTCCTCCACCTCTAAGGGTAGTATATAGTTTAAACGTAGTCTTGTCAATCACAGAGCCAACGAGGAGTAGTGCTTTCGGCTTCTCAATCAGTAAATGACAGGGCAGAAGTTAACGGTCTCCGGTATCTGCTCTACCCTTCTTCCTTAGTAGCAGAACCCTTAAATTTGAGACGGGCACATACTTGCCGAAAATAAGACATTTCCCAGAGTCCCTTGGGGCAGAGTGTGGCCATAGGACCAACTCAGGGGCATAGAGATAAGCAAAGGAGGAAGTGCATCTTCTGAGAATTATTCTTAAAGGGCGAGGACATGCTCATACTTGACCCTTCTTTCCTCCTGGCTGGAAAGTAGACCTGATGGCTGGAGCTCCAGCAGTTGTCTTGGACCACGAGGTGGGAAAGAAAACCATATTCACTGGAGCGTAAGGCAGGAGCCTAAGTCCTGCACAACATACATGTCCAGGGTTGCTGAGAGCTGAATATTTACTTTCGGGAGAAATGTCCTGTCCTTTTGGGTTTTCTGTTTCTCACAACCAAACTTAAAGCTTATTAAATACAGGATTTTTATAGAGGCAAACCTGACAGAAATGGGGAATGCACAGAGAGAGCCACAGAGACACTCTGACCCATAAATTAGGGTCTATAATAAACAGGTCCTCCCAAAGTTAGGTACCGGCTCTGAGAGCCAACATAGTGGAAGAGGGAGGACCCTTGCGGCTCGAATGTACAACCAGATGAGTTAGAGACTGACTCACAGAGATGGGAATTGTATAAAGACACAAACAATGAACTGTGTCCTGGGCACTCACCATGTGCCAGAGAGTTGCTTTAGGCACATCCTACCATTTCCTCCTTCCAACTCCGGGAGAGAACAGTTAGCTCATCAATCCCATTTGGGACATAAAGGAAACTGGGGCTCAGAGAAGTCAAGTCACCTGCCCAGTTACACAGCCCACACAGCGAGCCAGTGGCAGGGCTGGATTTCAAACCCCAGTCTCTCTTCCGTCTAAACCTGCTCTCTTAACTGAAATGTTATACTGCTTTCCAGGAATCCTGGAGGTATGACACTCTGAACAGAGTTTTATAGGAAAGCTGGCCCTTGGGGGATAGGGAGGAGGGACAAAGGGGGAGGACACAAGCAAACCACTCCTAAGATTTATTGGGTGGGTATTATGTGCCAGGTCTGTTTTAGGGACACCAAAGGCATTAACTCAATCCCCAAAACAACCTCAGATGGACAGTGCATGTATTAACAACCCCATTTTACAGACGAAGAAACAGGCTCAGAGAAGTGGGTTCCCCAGAGGCTGTATGGGCCGGTGCACCCGAGTCCAGGTCGGCAACCCCTGGCTAATCCGTGGGGTGAACCCCTGATAAGGGCTAAGGGTCTGGACAGTGTGATGCTTCTGAAATCTGGGGCACAGATCCCGCTGAAGATCTAAGAGTCGCCAGGGACGCCGTGCCCAGGGTTAAGGCAGGCGCGTCGGCCGCCCTGCGCACCAGTTCGCGGGCATCCCCGAGGCCGGCCCGCTGCAGAGCAGAACCTCGGACTCCTCGGAGGGGAATCGCGGTGGAGACGGGGACCCCAAGGGGCGGGGGGAATCTTTGGAGGAGGCCCTTGGGGAGCGAGCGCTGCACAGAAGGGCGCCGATGGAAACGCCACCCCTGCAGAACAGGACCCCGATCTGGGGAGGGCCAATGAAGACAGAAGCGCGAGGACACGATCTCCCCCGAGAGGACACCGAGGGAAAAGCGACGGGGCTCGGAGAGAACTGGACTCACACGCGCGAAGACCCCGCGGGGATGAGAATCCCCTAAGAACACGAGGGCCTCTAGATAAGGGTCTGAGGCCGACCCCGGGAAGAAGCGCCCTGCCCCGCTGATCAGAAGCGCTACCGAGTCCATACTGGAACGCCGCGATGAACCCCACGGGGATGAGGCCTTACCGGGCAGAGGGTAGGAAAGTCGCACGAGGGACAGGTCTCCGCTCACCCTGGCCTCAGCGGAACCAAAAAGCTCGGAAACGAGAGCCCGGACTTCCAGCGACGAACCACCCCCGCGACTACAATTCCCAGGAGGCTCCGCGGCTCCAGCCCCCCCACCCCCAGGTTCCCGCACCCTAGGAGCCCGCGCAGTGCCTACCGGGATATGTAGTCCCAGCCGCGGTAACCCCACCCCGACCCGGAGGCCGGCTCCGCCCCCACCGCCAGGCCCACCTCCTTCCATGTCTTCAGTCCAGTTGCGGCTGCTACTCGTGGGAGAGCTGGGCGAGGTGTAGTAATCGCCGCCGGGGCTCGTGTCCACGTCTTCCTCCATCGAGCCCGATTTGTGCCGCTTGCTCCTAAAGAGTGAGGGAAGGAGAGCGCAGGACGGTTACCACGGAGACTCGAGGGTGTGGGGCAGGCTGCGCTAACTTCCGGTCCCTAGAGGGCAGGGCGAGCAGCAGGGTGCTATCGCGAGACGTGGCGGGAGCCGCGGGCTCTCAGCGGGTGGCGTCAACGCCTGTCTCAACCTGCCCATTGCTCCGATGGGACGCGTGGGGCCGGAGGCGGCGAGGGGCTCAGCCGAGGGCAGGCGGCAGCTAGCGGGCTGCGGACTAAAACCGCATGGGCCTGGCTAATCAGGGGGCCTCCCGTAACCCTCAGAACACCCGGGTAGGACTACGGTCCCATTTTACAGATGGGGAAACCCAAGCAAACACGGTGTGACCAGCTCAAGGTTACACAGCGTATCGCAGCAAGAACCAGTGTCCACCTTCTCGTGGACTCTCCAGGGCTGGGCTCACAGGACTCAAGGCTGCGGGAACTCTGACTGGGGTGCCAGGGCTGGGGAGGGAGGGCAGCGCTCGGGGCTGGGTTTTGAAGGATCAGTAGGAGTTTATCAAGTGAACCTTGAAAGCAGGCATTGCAGGGAGAGGAATGAACCCCCGGGGTCAGAGGGACGTAGGGGAGGGGTCGTTAAAGGCCCCGAGGCGGGGGCCGGGGCACGTACCCGCTGGAGGAAGTGCTGGGTAGCGTTCTTCTCATGCCGGTGCTGGCCGGATTCAGGTCGTAGGCCAGGTGTCCCTGCAGCTCCCCCAGGGAGAAGTTGGGTCCTGTTCCAGTCACCACGGGGGCTGCGGAGGGCAAGGGCGAGCAGAGTGAGAGAGGGCGCAAGGCCCAGGGGTGCAGTGTGCCCTGGAGGGTGCGGAGAGCCATCTGGGGGCTGGCCAGTCCGAAAGGGAACCCCTTCCCTGATGGGCCGGGGTCCCAGTTTGGCTGGAACTGTCCTGTTCTATGGATCAGAAGACCAAAGCCCGCAAGAGAGCTGGTTCACACTGTGAGGCGGAGGCAAAGCTGGAGGCCAAGCTTGCAAGTGCTCCCTGAGGCCAGGCCCTGCTGACGGGGATGGGGAGCATGACGGTCAGAGGGACGCTCAGGGTGAAGGCCGGACAGTGCCCACAACTCCCTGGGGTGGAATTCCATTGGGCGTGTCCGGGCAATGGGTCCCCAGCAGGTCCATTAGAAACGTAAGGGAACAGGAGGCAAAGAGAGGAGGGGGGTGGGGCCCTTTGGGGTCTCCTCCTGGAGGGGTCGGGAGGCCCCAGGAAGGGACACAGGGGCAGAAGGTTTTCCAGCACCCTCCATCCACCGTGTGCAGTCTGATTCCTGGGGAGAAGCATGGTACCCTGACCTTTGGTTCTAGGAAGGGCCTGGATGCCGCCCTTCCTAGGGACCTTGGCTTGGTGACAGAGGGGAGCAGGGCAGGGTGATGGGCTCCTCGCCTCTCCCTGAGACCCCTTCTCTCTCAGAGCCTCCCCTCCCAAAGCCCCTTCTCCCTCTCCATTGCCCCTTCCCTGTGGGAGTCCCTCCCCTCACTGGATCCCAGCACAGGGTGGGCGGGGACACTCACTCCGGGACACTTGGATGAGCTCGGTGACACTGAACACACCGGAGGTGACGAAGCTCTCCTGGAAATCCGTGGTGTCTGGAACAGGGAGAAAATGGGGCTCACTGGGTCTGTTTCCTTCCTCGACACCCTGGGCTACCCACACTTGGGGGGCTGGAGTGGTCACCCTGTCCACCCCCTGCAGCTCTGTGGCAAGACGGAGGCAGAGGCCGCACCCAGGTTCAAATCTCAGCCCTGCTGCCCGGATCTGATCTTGGGCAAGTCACTTCCCATCCCTGAGCCTCCCTGCTCCCTAATCTTGGAAACGGAGGCCACGTACCCTGTCATCTGGGCGGCTGAGAGATATGAATCAACTGCCCAGGAGGGGCTGGCTTGCTTCCTGCGTCACTCCTTACACCATGCAATGCTGCAGCTTCTTATCCTTCCCCCTCCAGACTGGGAGCTCTGTGATGATGGGGTTCCGTGTGCCCAGATCCCAGTGTCCCTAGTGCCCAGACCAGAGCCTGGCCAACAGCAGTGGCTCAGAACCACAGGCTGGATGGAGGGCCCCCCTGCAGCAGTTAAAACCCCCAGTGTCCCCAGAACCACTCCTCCTAATGTCAGAGGAAGAGAGACCCTTCTCTCTGGTGTGGGGTGGCCGGGGCCCATTTTATGGATTTGGAAACAGGTTGGCTCCAAGAGGGCGGGAGCCCTGGCTGACCTCAGACAGCTGGGAGCAGGCCTGCTGTGCCCCCAGAGGCCCACACGGGCAGGATTCACTTACTCAACAAGCATTTACCAAGTGCCTCTAGTGTCCAGTTCTGAGCTGGGCGCTGCAGACACTGTGGGAATGAGGCAGACACAGCGGCTGCCCTCCTGGGACTCACTGTCCAGTGTGGGCAGTGGACACGTGACATCAATAAGACACAAAACCCTGTACATGAACGCACATAGGGGTGTGATTTACAACAGCCCAAACTGGAAACAACCCGTCAACAGATGAACGGATACACAAAACATGGTCCATCCACGCACAGGGGTGTCCCGTGGCCACGAGCAGGAGCCAGGCGCCCACACGCGCGGCCCCGGGGACGGGCCCCGAGCCCACGACGCTCAGAGAAGGAACCAGACACAGAAGGCCACACGGGGTGTGCGTCCACGTGGGTGACACGTCCAGAATGGGCTCATCCGCGGACGGGAAGGGGGCGCGTGGGGGCCATGGGCTGGGGGCAGGGATGGGGGTGATGGCTGATGGGGACGGGGTTTCCTTTGGGGGAGAGGGGATGTTCTGGAACTGGATAGAGGTGGTGGTTGCACAACAGTATGAATGTACTTAATGCCACTAACTGTACATTTGATGTTCTGTGAATTTAACCACAATAAAAAAAATATTTAAAATCACGAAGTCAAATGCGCCACGTGTCAGGCAGTGGTAGGCAGGCAGGGTTAGGGGAGCCTGCTGGAAAGGTAACCTACTTCACACAAAGGACCCGCAGAAGGTCTTGCTGTGGGTGACATTTTACCAAGACCTCCAGGTAGGGGTGGATAAGAGCAGTGGATGCATTAAAATTTGGGAAATGGCAAGAACAGCAAGTGTTGGTTGCTGTGACTGGGGTGATCTTAAACGTGGTGTTTTGCTGCCTCCCTGAGGGCCACAATATTCCCACTGGTGGCCCATGCAAAGGCCCTGGGGTTGGAGGCCAACAGGGCTGGAGTGAAAGGAGCCAGGGAGGGCTGTCAGAGCAGGGTCAGGACCAGCAGGTGGGCAGCGCTAGGCTTTTTGGGGGTGGCGAGAGCAGTTCTTCTCCAGGCCCCCAGGGGGCAGCATGGGCCACAGGGAGCTGACCTTGGTGCCCGGTTTCCCCAGCTGTGGGAGATCCAAGGCCCGGCCAGTCCAGAAACTCCAGCCTTCCTGGTTATGAGCTTTGTGAACACCATTTGTTGTGCAATTATTATATGCCCAGCCCCATGCTGGGGGGCTCTGGGCCACAACATCCCTGGGAGGACAGGGCGATGGCCCCCCAGTGTCCAGGGGAAGTGGCCATGGCCATTTCCTGCCACCCAGATGGCCAGCTGGTGTCAGCACGCCCCTCCGCCTTCCCCCCCACCGGGGTTTCCTGTTTGTGCAGCACTCGCCCAGCTCCATCTCCAGGGGACTCCCTGGCGGGTGGGAGGAAGCGCTTTCCCCCGCCAGACGCTGTAGCTCCCCATGGGACCAGGCCAAGCACCGCTGCCCCCGCCTGCCTTGAACATCTGGCTTGGAGGCAGGCGCCTGGAGATCACAGGAGGCCAAGGAGGACTCAGGGTCACGGACGGCCAGTGGTGAGCAGCCTAAGGGCCTGTGAACCTCCTGGAATCATCCGGCCTCCCTGTGCTGGTCCTTCCTAGGGGGAGGTCCTCACCCACTTGCTTTTTCTTCCATTCTTCCTTCCTTCCTTTTCATCTCTCCTCCCTCCTCACCCCTGCTATACCATCTCTCTAGTTTCTCTTTTTCTTTCTGCTTCATCTCTCCCTCTCTCCTTTTTTGCTTTCTGCAAATATTTATTGAACACTTATTACGTACCAGGTCCTATTCTAGGCACTGAGGACACAATGGTGATCAGGACAGACAAAAGCCTCTGCCCTCAAGGAGGTGACGTTGCATTAGGAGAGATAAACACATGTGCAGTCACTAAGCAACTAAGCAAATGCATATGCAATCACTAACTTCCTCAGAAGGAAATAAAACAGAAGGTGGCCATTGAGAGTGGCTAAGGCTGCTTGAGATCAGAAGATCTCTCTGGGAGGGAAGCATGTGAGCTGAGACCTGGGAGATCCAAAGAGAGAGAGAGAGAGAGAGCAGTTAGCTGTCCAAATAGAGAGCAAAGCACATGCAAAGGCCCTGAGCCAGGGACTGGGCCTGGACTGTTAGAGGAACAGCTAGGAACCCATGTGGCTGGAGCAGAGAGTGAGGGAGAGACAGGGTGGAGGGGAGGGCAGGGAGGGCACAGGGACAGATCCTGAAGGGCCTTGGGGGTCAGAGGAGGACTTTTACCCCAAGGGAGGTGGGAACCCAGGAGGGCTCTGAGCAGAGGAAGGCAGGACCTGACTCAGGTGCTCACAGGCACTCTCTGGCTACTTTAGGGAGGACAGACTGGGGAGGGTGAGGGCAGAAGCCAGGGGGCCAGGGTGGAGGCAACTGCTCTGGTCCAGGAGGGCGATTATGGGAGCAGACCAGGGCAGAAGCAGGGCCTCTGCAGCTTCTGAATTCTTTCTGTTCTCCGGGGCTCTGCTCCCAGCCCTGCCTGAGGCCGACTCTCTCGCTTCCCACCAACGTAGAAGTGACTCGCCCTGCTCATCCACTGAATGTCCCATGGGATTGCAGGGACCCCTGGGGCCACTCTTGTGGGGTGAGCACTTCAGTGCCCGGAAGCTGGGAGCTGAGGGTTGTGGCTTCCAACCCCAGCTTCCTGGGTGCCCCTGGGAAGGCCCCTTAACCTCTCTGAGCCTCGGCTTTCTCATCTACACAATGGAATAACAGTAGCACCTGTTCATGGCATGGCTGTGATGAACGAATCCATTAATCTCTGGGGTGCCCACACAGGGCCACGCAGAACACACAGGGTCCCCCCTCCTTCAGCATCCCCAGACTCACCCAGTGTGATGGGCTTGCTGTCCTCCTGGTCGGAGCCCATCCCTGCCCGGGGACTGCCGCTCTGCTCCGCATCTGCAGAGGGAAGGAGGAGGGGGTGGTGACACTGCAGGGAACCCCACCCCAGGGGGAGAGGAGACACCCGTGCCGGGGCCAGGCTGGGCAGTGCCGTGGAGAAGCAGCCCCCAACGCGCCCAGGCCCCGGGGTCTCCACTTGGCCCCTTCCCTTGGCTGCTGCCCCACAGGGTCATGGGCGTCTGGCAGGCCCTGTACGTGGCAGAACCTGTGTGCAGGGGCTGACTCAGTTGCAGGCTGGAGACCTTCCCCTCTCTGAGCCCGTTTCCTCATCTATGAAAGGAAGGTAGCTCGCTTACGAACTCGTGAGCGTAGCTCATTCATCCTGCCTTAACCCTGGGAGGCAGGAGCCACCATTATGCCCATTTTACAGATGGGGAAACTGAGGGCCGAAGAGATGAGTCCTTGAGCCCTCAGGCCCCCTCCGCTCGGCCTCTGCCCTCAAAGTCCCGGGGGTCCAGCACTTGGTCTTGGGTTGTCACGCAGGGAGCCCAGGAGGGGGCGGAGGGGCGTCCCCCTGCAGCTTCTATACCGCCACCCACCCGCCTGGCTTGGGGGCTCCCTCCCACCCTGGCGCCCGCCTCTCCATCTTATCTAAAAATAATCAGGTTCCTTGGCAGACGGGCGAAGCAGACAGACGCTGAGCTCAGCATTATCAGCTCTGGCGTCCTGGATGGCGAGTAGCGCCAACCCCCCTCCCGCAACCCCCTCCATGTCCGATGCAGGGGTGGGGGGGGACCCATGGCCAAGCCCAGCCAGATGGAACCCCTGGCCCTGAGTTGTCTCTCAGGTCAAAGACCAAGGTGGTGGGAATCACCACCAAAGGCCAAAGGAAGAGAATCAGCCCCTTCCACCTGCCACATCCCAAAGCCAGACATAATCACTGTGTGACATCAGGCATGTTGCTGAACTGTTCTGAGCCTCAGTTCGCTCCTTCGAATGGGTGCAAGCACCACCAAGGGGTGGTAAAGAGATGATACCAAGAACTGGATACATGGGGATGTCCTTCACGTTATTATTATCGTTGGTGTTACGTTTAAATCCCGAAGATGACCGTCAATGTGGCGCTTTATTGTTCGCATTTGAGACGTTCCCTAAAATCCTTAAGAGAGCCACATACCTGGCATCGTTATTGGATCCATCTTATAGACAAGGAAAACTGAGGCTGAAACAATGAAGAAGGGCCCACCCCACGGCACACTTGCACTCCTCCCTCGGGAGGGTGATTTTCTGCTAGTTTGCGCCAGCATCCAGACATCCACCACATGGCTGTGCGCGACACGTCTGGCTTCTGGGCTCAGATGCCTGGGTTCCCATCCCAGCTCCAGGAGCCTCGGTGGTGATGGGCCCTCAGCAACCCCAGGAGGCTGTGGAGGTAATGTGCTGATGCCTCCTAAAACAGCCACGAGCCCTCACCCTTTGCCCTGTGGCTTTGCACACACTGTGTGTTGAGCACCTCCTGGCCGCCAAGATTGAGGATGCCCTAAACAGCACCAGAGCGAGGACCCGTGCCTCAGTTTCCCCACAGACAGCACGAGTGGATGGGGGGCAGCTCCAGTCGTGACCGACTGGGCTGGGCACGGCTGGGCAGCAGCCGAGGGGAGTGTGCCCGGCTCGGCCCCACGCCCTGTGGCTGCTCCCAGGCTGGGCAGCCAGCAGCCCTTTGGCGCTGGCCACTCCTGCTTGGATGACCACGCGGCTGGGCACGGGTGGCCCCTGCGTTGGGAAGAGCCCAGCCCGGGCAGCTGGCCGTCGGGCTGCAGGCCTCGGGCACAGGACCCTCTTGTGGAACCGGTGCCCACACGGACTCAGCAGGAAGCAGCGCCTGGCTGGCCCGCGGGTGCTGCCCCAGGAAGGGGGCGTGTCCCCCGGGCACCGCCTGCGTGCTGGCGCTCGGGAATCAGGGCGACAGGGCTGTGGGCCTCACCTCTCCCTGTGCCTCACTCTCCTCATCCGGGAAGTGGGCACAACAACAGCACCTCTCTCAGAGGTAGTTCTGAACCGAAAAGGTGACAACGGATGCAACACGCTGCCCCACAGGGTGGGGGGCTCACCATCAGCACTTCACCAATCGGAGGGGGGCACTTTATTACTATCTGTGCGATTTCCCTTGTTTCTGTCCCGGGTGCTGGTACTTTGCACCCACTGAGAGCGATGGCCCTGGGCTAAGGCTGGCTCCTGCTGGGAGCCCTTATCCCCTCGCTCATTCACTCTGTGACCTTGGCCAGCGGCCATGCCACCTCTCTGAGTCTCAACTTCCTCAGAGTAAAACGGGGAAGATAGCAAAACCCACCCCCCGGCTTTGATAGGGCGCCAAAGCAGCTAATAATACGTGTAAAAGGGTTGGCATGTACCAACATTCAAAAAATGGTAGGCTTGGGGAGCGGCTGAAAACAACATTGTGTTCCTAATTTCGGTCTCTAATTGTCCGTTGCTTGCATGGAGAATGGCCGGCGGCTGGGTTTTGTGTGTCAGTCTTGTATTCTGCAACCCCACAGAACCCACTCAGTAGTTCTAGGAGGTGTTTACGTTTGTATAGATTCCTTGGAACTTTCTTAGCAGGCCATCACGTACTTTGCAAATAGGGGCAGCTTTATTCCTTCTTTCTCATCTGTATGCCTCTGATTTCCTTTTCTTGCCTTATTGCTCTGGCGAGGACCTCCAGCACAATACTGAACACAAGGGCTGAGAGCAAGTGTCCCTTCCTGCTTCTGATCTTGGGGGGAACTCACTCAGTCTCTCACCGCTGAGTGCGAAGGTAGCCGTGGCTCTCCGCTGACCCCCTTCACTGGGCTGAAGCTTTTTTTTAATATAGTCCCCTTTTTTTCTTCTATACTCCCCAAGTTTTTTTTTTTAAATTAAACAAGTGTAGTTTCTAAAAAAAATGATGCTGTAATTATATGCTATCTCATTAAATTTTTTTAAATTTAGTTTTTAAATTGTGCTTAAATATACATAGCATAAATTTTACCATTTAACCATTTCTAAGTGCACAGATCAGCGGCATGAAGCACACTCACCCTGTCCTGAGACCACCCCCACCCTGTCTCCAGAACTTTCCATCTCCCCACACGGAGACTCTGTCCCCACCCCCTGCCCCAGCGCTGGCTCCCACCCTCTCCTGCGTGGACGGGACTCCTCTGGGGACCTCCTGGGACTGGGGTCCTGCAGGGACCTGTGTCCTTCTGGGTCTGGCTCCTCTCACTGAGCCCAGTGTCCTCGGGGTCCCTCCACGTTGTGGCAGGTGTCAAGATGTCCTTCCTTTTAATTATGCCATCTTATTTTTAATTACCTCTCAGCTTTGGAATATTTCTCATCCATCTGCTGACCATTTGCCTGTCACCCTGGCTCCTGAAAACTCCCACCTTCTTGAGCTGTCCAGTATGGGAGCCACTAGGTACATGTGACTTGAAATTTACATCCGCTAAACTGAAATTAAGTTAGAATCTCAGGACTTCAGTGGCACTGGTCATCTCTCAATCCTCAATAGCCCACAAGACTGGTGGTGACTGAATTGGATGGTGCCGAATATCACCATCTGCATAGAAAGTTCCACTGGGCTGAGGGCCTGTGGATGTTTCTATGAAAACTTGGGAGTGAATGGGCACAGGTAATCCCCTCCTCCTCCCATCTACTTAGACAGCCAGCCCTAAAATGCACCTTCCTCTGGTCTGAGCAGATGTACCCAGGCCCCAGGCCATCAGCTTTCATTTGCCAAGTTTCACTGTGTGAAGAGCTTCATGGCACCATCTGATTCAACCAATCCAACTGATGAGTTTGGTAAACTGAAGCCCACCTCAGAAAGTCTATTTCCCAAAGCTGATGTCAAGTCAAAGAAGTTGTGTGCCTAGCACAGAGTAACGTCACTGGGGTGATCTTGCCCCTCAGGACAATATCTGGGGACGTCTGTAGGTCGTCACGACGGGGGGTGCTCCTGGCACCGACTGGGTGGGGTCACGGGTGCTGTTCAGCCCCCCCCCCACTGCCCGGGACGCCCCCACAGAGAACGACCTGGCCCAGCGTCTGCAGTGCCAAGTGGGCAGAACCTGGTCTGGACCCAACCATTTTCAGTGGGGGTGAAACTGGTTCTTGGGGAGGGTATGGAGGATCTAAAGATTTTACTCTTTTGTGTATAAAACATCAATATAGATACAGCACATAAACAGACATATACCTGTGATATTAAAACTTCACGGGGCAGAGGGATTAAAGAAAAAAATGTCTACAAAGGATCTGTTGGTGAGGCAATAAAAAAAGGGGGGGTACATTTTGTACCCTAGTGAATTTTTAAAGGACTGTAAAAGGAGAAAGGAGAGTATGTGACGGAAACCGTATGAGACCTGCCAGGTCTTAAATATTGACCATCTGGGCCTTTACTGAAAGTCGGCTGACTTCCAGCTGTACGTCGTCCGGCAAGTTCTTGACATCTCTGAGCACCCTTCTTCTTCATCCATAAATCGGATGCGAACCGCACTACCCTTATTCCTTTCCTTTTGAAGGGAACTGATTGCCGAGCACCTCCTGGGGGACCCAGCAGTGACCAAGATGGACAAAAGGCCTTGCCCTCATGGCACTCACGTTCTAATGGGGGAGCGATAGGCGATGACCAAGTAAGCAAATAAATGAGGAGAACCTCAGGCTGTGCCAAGTGCAAGGGAGGCTAAACCACCAGGAGACGTGGGTGGCAGCTCCTGGAGGGTGCGGGGCTTAAGCTGGAGCTCCTGGGAGGGTTGATAAGGCCACTCCATGTGAAATGGTCCATTCCAATAGTTAATACTTAGTGAGTCATTTCTTTGACTAGACTGGTCCGCAAATTTCACCTCCACTGACTTATTTAATCTTCAAAACTCCCCCAGGAGGACAACACGGATGGAGCTAGAGAGTATAACACTCTGAGGGAAATAAGTCAGTCAGAGAAAGGCAAATATCATATGATCTCACTTATTCGTGGAATTGAAGGAATAAAATAAATAAGCGGGGGGCGCGGTGCAGAAAGAGAG